CATAATCAAAAAAACAACTAACAACTTTTTCATCAAGCTTTCTAATTCTTTACTCTTCTGGTTTAATGATAAAATCTAGAATAACAAAAACCAAATTTATCACAAATAGGAAACTGCTCATGGTATCTCTCAAAAAATTAAAAAAAATACAAACCGAATACACCTTTCTCAATCTATATCTAATCAAACCACTACTATAACCTATAATACCAATATAGATACCTATATTCAAAAATGTTTACTTCAAAACTTTTCTATATATAATTGTTTTTTCTAATTAATCTTCTCTTTTTTCCAGAGGTCTCCCTTAACCTTCTCTATAGTCGATAGTAACTTTGTTTAAATCAGCTAGCAAATAGAAAATAAGGATGTAATATCACACTAGATGTCTAACTATTAACAAATAGTCTTAGTAACAATAGTGCATATTAGGAATATACATTAGCTTCACATATATACCATTCTGATATATAAATATACTAATTCTTTTTCTAACTGATATTATCAATTAATAAAAAAAAAAAAAAAAAAAAAAAAAAAAAATAGATTAAAAATCATATATAACTTGGTTAACAACTTAATAAAGTTTATAATGCTATATTGCAAAATTTTATTGATAACAATATTTGCTCCTTAAGTAAAAAATTTTCCTGAGCTAGTTAGACTTAAAAAAAAATATTGTCAATTTGGTTCACCTATTGAATTAACTCCGACCCCCGATCAATTTACTACGCCACATTCGTGAACCCTGTGCATATTTGGTGTTATATAGCTAATTTTCAATTTTTGACTTTCTTTTTAAAGATATATATTTATAGATTACAATTACACTATACTTTCCTTTAACAACTCCTCAATATTGAACTATGCCTTTGAGCTACGTAAGCATTTGTATCGCTCTTTACGATTACACTGCTCAAAACGACGATGAATTATCCTTTAAAGAAGATGACATACTTTATATTTTAGAAAATGACGACGATGAATGGTGGAAGGCGAAATTAAAAATCGAAAAAAATGGTGATGAAAATACTTCTGAGGGTCCGATCGGAATTGTACCTAGCAACTACATTCAAGAGGCATGTCTTTGAAGTTATTAACGTGCTATAATATAAACTGTAACTTAATTTGTTTGGTTTATACGGAGATCTACTACCTTTGTTTAGATTATTGTAAAGATCCTTTACCCTTTTAACAATCAAATGTTATACTTTTATTTTTAGGCTGAATGTACAAGTGTTTTGAAAGCTATTTATGATTACGAAGCTCAGTCTGACGAAGAATTGTCATTTAAAGAAGACGATATATGTTATTTATATGACAAAGATGATCCTGACTGGTACTTGGTTAAATTCAACGATATATTTGGTTTTGTGCCGGCAAATTATGTCGAAGAGGTACTTTTGATATGATTTATTTTGAATATGAAAGATCAATAATCACTTCAATTCAATTTTTTGGTTGAATGCATATATATAATTGATTGATCACTATTTTTGATCCATTTGTTTGTAGACGTCATTTGATTCTGAGGAACAAGAACTACAAGAAAACCAAGAATCGAAGAAAAAGATGTCTCTATTTGACGCTTTGTCGGTATATATCAAGCAACTATCAAATATTTGCAATTGTATAATTTTTTTTTATAATTAAAATTTTTATTTATTTATTATCAGAGTGCATCCGAAGACAAATATGTGGATCCATTACAACTATATGCTCGTAAAGTTGCTACTCAAAAAAGTGGTACATCATCTTCGGCACTCGACGTTAAAACGTGGTCTGTTTCGGTAACGTATTTTATCTCTCAAATTTTCTTTTGCATTTCAAATTTTTTATATAATCAAATTTACTAAATAGCATATATCAATTTTAAAATTCTACATTTTTTAGGAAGTCATTGTTATTGATAAGAAAAAGAAGAAAAAGAAGGGTAAACTTAGTATCGGAGGAGAAAATGTGTATTATGCGAGTGAAACAGACAAGGTATTGTTATTTTCAATATGTCAAAAAAAAAAAATTTTTTTTATTTATGTATTAAGATCTACAATGGCAATTTCATGAACACATCCAGACTCCAGTTCAACATTGGAATATTAGTGATTTGAAAGATATAAAGTATGAGAAAAAGAATGTTACAATAACATTTGGCGGTGCGAAATCTGCGACATTCAATTTCCAGGCAGCAAGTAAAAATGATGCAGAAGCTATTTATCGACAATCTATAGAATGCATTGCAAGTTTAGAATTGCCAACCGTTAATATTGATACAAACTCTATAAAATCACCTTCATATCCACCACGACCTTCTTCAACGCATGATAACCAAGATGCTGAAGAAACTGATTCACAAGCTGATGTTGAGGAAAATGAAGTTGAAGAAGTTAATGAAGTTGAGGAGGTTAATGAAATGGAGTTGCCACCACCAAAAGTTGGTATTGCGTTATATGATTTTGATGCTCAAGGTGACGATGAGATCTCTATTTGCGAAGGTGATGAAGTATGGGTTATTGATGATGTTAGTAGCAATGAATGGTGGAAATGTCGTAAAGGTGATGAGGAAGGCATGGTACCCTCCTCTTATATTGAAGTAAGCATAAATTAAATTTATTCCATTGCTCTTTTATATATAGCTTATTAACTAGTTGTTCTTTGGCAGATACGGAATGAAGATTATAATGCTGATCAAGATGTTGATCAAGATGCTGATCAAGATGCTGATCAAGATGCTGATCAAGCTACCGAGGAGGAGCGTCAACAGTTAGAAGAACAGCGAAGGGTAGAGGAGGAACGTTTAAGAAAAGAGAAAGAACGTCAAAGAATGGAGGAAGAACGTCAGAGAAAGGAGAAGGAACGTCAGAGGAAGGAGGAAGAACGTCAACGTAAGGAGGAGGAACGTCAAAGGAAGGAGGAAGAACGTCGCCGGCGTGAAGAAAATGAAAGAAAGCGTAAAGAATCAGAAAAACGTTTATTGGAAGAAAACAAACGAATGCAGGAATTCGAGTCTTCACCGTCACCACCGCCACAACCGCCATCATTACCAAGTACGACTAATTTTAGTGGCATATTCATCTTTGCATAATTTCCATATACTAATTTCTTTTCATAATTAATAGCTCGTCCGCCTGCTAAAACGAAACTCTCTTCAGGTATGTTTAATATTTATTCGGCTTTTTTTTTTTTTTTAGTATATTTTATTTATTTTGATTTACACTGTATAGACGAAGCAGCCATAAAGAAAATTCAAACTCCAACAAATCGTATATTGCCCGATAGACCTGCTCAAGCTCAATCAAAAAATAGTATGTCTTTTAGTATATTCTTAGTCACTAGCTAGGTTTAAAGCCAAATTAATTGCTAATGTGATTTTTTTTTTTTTTTTCCTTGTAAAAGAACCACTTCCATCAAATACTAGAACTTGGAAAGATCGAACTGGTTCATTCCAAGTTGAAGCTGAATTTCTTCAACTTGTTGACGGCAAGGTACATCTCCATAAACTTAATGGTATAAAAATTGCAGTTCCAATGGATCGAATGAGCAAAAAGGACATTGCATATCTTGAAGAGGTGACTGGAGGAAAATTAGATGATAAATCTGATAAATCTGATAACATACCTTTGGCTGCCATTGTTGCTGGACATAAAGGCAAGGCAACCTTAACGAAAAGTAAACTTGAATATGATTGGTTTGACTTCTTTCTCAAGGCTGATATTACACATGATGACGCATTCAACTACGCCAAAGTATTTATCAGTGAAAATATGGATGAAAGTTCAATATATAATTTAGATCGCAATGTAATGAAAGAGCTTGGTTTGAAGGAAGGAGATATAATTCGGGTAATAAATTATATTACCAAAAATTATACGTCTACTAAGAAAACTTCTACTAATGGAAGTAAAGAAAGAGAAAGGAAGGATAGGGAATTAGCCAAAAAAATTCAGGTATATAAAATAAAATTATTTCTTCTATAATAATCGAATAATAAATATCTCCATATCTCCATTAATTATTTGTACAACTTATTTGAAATATTAGTCTGAAGAACTCGAAAAAACACAAAAATTGTCGGAATTTGACGTAAAGATGCAACTGAAGCGTGATGAGCAATTAGCCAGAGAGCTTCAAGAGGAAGAAAATAAAATAGCACGTAGTGAAGGACGACCGATTCCGAAATCTGCCGATTTGTATGGCAAAGGAACTTTAGAGTCAGTCATTCAACGGGATGATAAATCAGTGCCTAAAACTCCTCCACTACTTTTTTCTGAAAACAATGGTGTTTTGAAAAACAACACAAAAAAAACACGCCCTATGCCCACAAAAACAGCACCAATACAAGTTGATGCGAAAAGTTTTGTAAATACTAAAGATCAGGTGGACGCTGCTTTTAAGCCATCTTCAAATTCATCGTCTTCTACTGCACAGAAATTTGACGATGATGCTTGGAAAATAACTGACAAAACTCCTGCACTAATACCTACTTCCACGGCGGTATCACCTCCACCACCTCCACCGCCTCCTCCAGCAGTCACACCAAATCTTCCTTCCCAATTTCTGTTACAGCAAAATTTAATTCAAAATCAAGCCTCACAAGCTCCACCACCCCCGCCACCCCCACAACCAAGGGTTGTTCCATTGAATTCTACCCTTCATCAACCTTTAATTCCAGTTAAATCCGGAAATCCTTTGCAATTTACTACGCAATTTAATTCAACTCCAAATATGAATGCTTTTAGTACACCGCCTATAAATAATTTCCCAAATGCAACGGTTCAATATCAACAAACTTTCCAATATCAAACAACGTCATTTTATCAACCCACCCAAAATCCGCAACAACAGACAAATTCGTCATTTTATGACCCTAAAAATGTGTTTGCCTCTATGAAGACTGGACAAATCGGGCCAAAAGCACCACCGAGTGATTTAGGGACTAATGGTAATTATTAACAAATCGTTCATATGATGTAAATTTTACTTTCCCTTTATAAATTATTCTATTATAAATTTAGCATCAACTGACAGATATGCTGCTCTCAAACAAGCGGACCTCCAAGGCCCAAGTGTTTTCAATAGTACAACAACGACATTCCATTCACAAAGTATACTTTCATCAATTTTACGATAATCAATTGAATTCATTTTAATCATTCTAATGGCATTATTCAAATATCTTCAGATTCAACTGGGTTTGGGTTAAATTCAAGTGGATTCAATGCTAATCCTACAAATTGGAATCAAGGCGTTCCTCAGCCAAACCAAAATTTTGCCATAGGTGGTATCCAACCTAATCCAGGCTTTGGTCTTGGCCAACAGCCTGGTCAAGTTAGACCTAATCAGCAAGGGTTTGGTCTTGGCCAACAGCCTGGCCAAGTTAGACCTAATCAGCAATGGTTTGGTCTTGGCCAACAGCCTGGTCAAGTTAGACCTGATCAGCAAGGGTTTGGTCTTGGCCAACAGCCTGGTCAAGTTAGACCTAATCAGCAAGGGTTTGGCACAAACATGGGATATAATAATAATAATAATAATAATTATAATAATTAGGGTTCCAAACCGGTTGGAAAATCTCTACCCGTGACCCGTCGGGTCAACCGTCTTTACCAACCGGGTACCCGA